GAATCGGCCATTGTACCATCCTTCCCGCGGCGTCCGGGAAGAGGAGATCACTAAAATTATCCAAACTCACCTAATCGTCGACCCGGACCTCGCCGCCGCCGAGGAGAAGCTGTTGGCGACTGATGGCTTGAGGAAATTCCATAACGCACTCCGGACATCCAAGGAGAAGGACGACTTCAAAGCGCATCTTCGGCGATATATAGCCATCTACCTTCCCGATTGTCCGTTCGAAGTCAATGCGACAAACCGTTTTACAATCGATTCCTACGAAGCGAGCATCACAGCGAGGCGCCCAATTCGGCGCAATGAAGCGATCAAGTACTTGGCCGGCACCCAGGTGACGGTCACGCCAGAGGAGGAAGCCCAGCTAGCCTTGCGGAAGAAGGACTTCAGTCTCGTAGTCAGCAGCCGGAGCAAGCTGACCAGCCTCTTCATGGGGCCCGCGAGATTTGCCAACCACGATTGTGCGGCAAATGCCAGGCTCGTTACGCGCGGCGCGGCAGGGATCGAGATTTTTGCGTGCAGGGACATCGGGTTGGGCGAGGAGATCACCGTCACGTACAGCGAGAGCTACTTTGGAGAGAACAACTGCGATTGTCTCTGCCAGACGTGTGAGGACAACGTGGCCAATGGTTGGAAGCCCAAAGATGGTACCGTGCCGGTGCATAGGAGCATCGAGGAAAACGTTTTGGGCGACGACCAGGGCTATTCGTTGCGTCGGCGGCGGCGAGAGCGGAGCGTTAGCGTCGCTGGGTCTAGCACTTCGTCGGTCACGCCCGACATCCGTCCGCGTATTTTCAAGACCGCGAAAAACCGAGCAATGGCGAGCGACAGGGCCTCGACGACAGATTCCGACGGCGTTGACGTATTCGCTATGGCCGTAGCTGCCCCGAAACGGAATTTTGATACGACGGCCCTGAGCTCTCCGCCGCTCACACCGGCCAAGCGCCAAAAGCCGAACGATTACGACATTGCTCCCCTTCCTCTGGGCTTGGAAGTCTCGAGGGGCAGCTCCACCAGTGGGCCCGTGGACAGTCTTATTGCAGCCGAAGACGGCAAGAGCACTGTCACACAAGCGACAACACCGGACTTCGAGCAACCGGAACCACTGTTGATGCGAGAAAAGCCGCTATTGTCACCAGAGGTGTCGCCGATGAAAGAGGGCGCCACGCTAGCCGGTGCGTTGAATGGCGAGCACGACGCGCCCGCAGAGGCTAGCGCACCGCTGTCGGTTCTTCCTACTACGGAGATCGATCCCCCGGAAGAAACGCTCTATACCACGGCTATTGCACCATCTTTGCTTCCCAGCCCCGAATGTTCGATGACAGCAAACGATTTGCCGGAGCATATCACTCCCGTATCTGAGGCCCCCCCGCTTACTCAAGAGGGAGAAAGCGTGGCGCGGCAAGACTCGCAGGCAACGATTTTAGAGGAGAGTCTTGCGGTGCCGAATTCGGCGCCGCCACGAATTGAAGAAGCGGAAAACAATGCTCAACAAGGCGCAGAAACCCTAATGCTGGGAGCGCCCAAATTGGCCGCAGAGCCGAGTAATGAGGTGGGCCCCGTCACATCAACCACCTCGACAAAGAAAAAGACACGCCGGGTGTCCGAAAAGCCCGCGCCTGAGCCCGTTCGGAAACAACGCGTGCCGGGCGACTACACGCTCACACCACTCCTCCTCTCGCAGCCCGAGACGGCGTGGATCCACTGCACCAACTGCAACACGGCGTTTGTGCAGAACGACGCCTACTACACGCGGGCGAACTGCTCCCGCTGCGAGCGCCACTCCAAGCTCTACGGCTACGTCTGGCCCAAGACGGCACCGGCCGGCAAGAACGACAGGGAGGAGCGCGTGCTCGACCACCGGCTCATCAACCGCTTCCTGCACCCGGACGACGAGGCCATTATCCGCGGCCGCAAGCCCTGGAGGGAGCGCCTTGGCCAGAGCAGCAGCTCGCTGGCGCCTAGCGAGGAGCGCGGCCGACAGCGCGAGTCCGGCACGCCCCAGGGGGGCCCGGGTGATAACTACCGCCGGAGCGGACGTGCCCGCAGAGCTAGTGCTAAGGCTATGGGCCAGTGAACTGTTGCTGTGAATTATTGCGTGGTGATTAGCCTGGCTTAAAGGTGGCGGTAGTGGGAACAAGCAGTGTTTTGTGTGTTACATATTTGTATTATCTTGCTTGAATGACGAGGGCCGACCGGATGGTCACCTCGACGTCTGCTTTGCTAGAAGAGCAGAGCTATAGTACTTGCTAGCGTGGTGTAGTTAATGGAATATATAATTAAATATGCCCTCCATCCAGCTCTTCCTCGGCCAGTTTGGTGACCTGCCATTTGTGAAGTTGCTTGCTGGCTGTTTCTTGTTCGATACAGCACCAGTAAAACGTTCTTTTCTTGATACACAATACATGTCGCCTGTAATTAACTACATGCATGTGGTGCCCTGGCAACTGAAACAGTGAAACCCCCTGTCCGCTGCAGCCTCAGGCATCCAATTGGAGCTTCGGAGCTTCGGAGCTTCATGAGAGCTTGCGCCAGCCTTCCAGTTTCGCAAGAGCCATCTCTGTGATCGCCTCCATTGTCCCAGCGTCGGACCAGGACGCATTGTTTCTTTGCTTCCCCACCTTCTTTTATCGTACTCGCGTAATCTGCCGTATTTCTTGCCATTCGGTCCCTCGCGGTCCCCACGCGCCCGGCCCGCTGCATCCATTCAATCCTTTGTTGACTTTGCGACCACTCCATCAACCAATTAATTAACTAACCGACCGCTCCAATCATTTCCACCCACCCAACTGCGCAACAGCGATACCACTTGACGACCGACCCCCGACGCCCACCAAACCACCCAACACACACACACATCACCATGGCGGACAGCTTCAACTCATCGATAATCGACGACGCACCCCCCACCACCACCACCGCCACCGCCGCCGGAGCCACCGACGACGTCGACATGACCGAGAACCCTACCGCTACCGCTACGGCCGCGACCAACGGCTCCGAGCTGCCCTTCGCCGAGGGCGTCCCGGTGGAGGAGGCCGTCCTGCCCGAGCGCACCACCTTCCTGCAGTACCTGGCCAGCCCGCCTGTGACGGCAGGTTCTAACCCTAACCCTGGCCGCAACCCGAGTGGTGGTCTGTGCGCCTCCCACCTGTGTTTTCCCACAGTTGTGCGAATCCTGTATCTTGATTCTTTTCTTTTCTTCTCTTTAGCTTTAGATTCACGTAATTGAGTGGGATCATTTGAGCTTTTGTGCCTCTATTCCTCGCTCGCTCGTCACAATACTAAACAAATTAGAAGTTCAAATTTTGGCTTTAATAACCAAAGAAGAATCATTACGAATAATAATTTAAATAATTTAAGTTTCACTAGAAAATATTCTTCATGTTCTAATTTAAAATAATACTTTTTACTATGCCATTGTACACTATCAAAAATTGGAATTAAACCTAGTTCAATTAAATCACTATTTTGAATATTTAAATTAAATTGACCGTTGCTGATTGGGTCGGGGGAGAGCGAGACGATTCTGACGGCGCATCAGGGGTTGTTGGTGCAGAGTCCGTATTTTGCGGAGGCGTGTGCGGAGTTTGTGGATGATGGGAGTGTAGGTGCTGTTGTTTGTTTCTTTTTTTTTGGGGGGGGGGGGGGTTTGTTGCGGGCGGGTTGTCCGCGGGTTGGTTGGAGTTGGGGGGTGAAGGGGTGTGGGCTTCGGGGTTCGTTGCTGACTTTGTGTGTGTGTGTGCTGTAGCCCCGCCAGATCGAGCTGCCCGGCGAAGACCTCGAAGCGATGGGGTGCTTTCTCGAATTCCTCTACACATCCGACTACTTCCCGAAGAAGGTGCCCGGCCAGCGCACGCTAGAGAAGGACCCCTCGATCCCCGACGTGGACATGACGGGCGAGCAGCTGCTCAAGCACGCCAAGGTGTACACGCTCGCGGAGAAGTTCGGCCTCACCGACCTCAAGAACCTCGCGTCCAGCAAGATCCACTGCGTCAACTCGACCGCCAAGGGCGAGATCGCCTACGCCCGCTACGTTTACGAGTACACCTCGCGCGAGGACACGGCCATCCGCGTGCCCGTCGCCAACTTCTGGGCTACCCGCTCCCACACCCTGCGCGCCGAGGCCGAGGAGGAGTTCCGCACCCTCTGCTTGGAGTTCCCCCAGTTCGGTTACGACGTGCTCAGTATGTTTCCTGGAGAACCCTTGTTAGGTGTGTGTTGCGCTGTGCTAACCTTTGCCCCCTCCCACAGCCCGCGTACTCGACGAGAAGCTCAAGCGCGAGCGCAACGAGAAGATGCACCCCGGCGCCCCCGGCAGCGCCCGCAAGCGGCCCAGGCACAGCAGCACGGCAGCTTGAGCGGCCTACGTTATGGATGGGCAAGAGAGATCGGTTGCGCCCGGTTGAGATGCCGGAGGGGGTGCGGTTGTCGGCCCGCAAAAGCTTGCGTCAACCTCCCGCATACCCCAATGGCCCACAGCAAATACCTATATACCTACCGCGATATGGCGGGTGTACAACAGTATATTCCAAGCCTGTATTTTTTTGGGTCCTTCGGTTTTCTTTTTTATCTCGTGGAGTACCCAGTTTTTATCTATAATTGCCGAGGGGGGGTTCATAAGCTGGATACAACGGTTTGGGCTGTCCACAGGGAAGGGCAGACGTATCGGGCTTGGGCCAGGGTCAACGAAGAGCAGGGAAACACCCTCGAACGCGGTGTCTCGTTCGGCGGGCAGTCTGTCTTCACATACCAAGCCCCAAAGAAGAAACGGCTCGAGAGCCTCCGGCGCTCGGGGGTTGGTATGCATAGCTTCCTTATGGATACAAGAACAGTGATTGCTCGGGGTCACGCCCCTGTTGCCCAAAGTCATTGCATCTCACGCAAGCCCGTTGTAAGCATCAACTTCCCGACCAGTACTGAGGCCGAGAAGTGGGTTTTGCAGAGGCGGATGAATATTGTATTTCCGGCCCCCACTTCAACAAATCAACTAGCCTGCCCGGCTAGCTCAATCGGTAGAGCGTGAGACTCTTAATTATCTCACGTAATCTCAGATCTCAAGGTTGTGGGTTCGACCCCCACGTCGGGCTCAATTCCCGGCAGCGATTGCCTCCTGTCATTTTTTGGTATTTTTCCCTTTTTATTGCCTTTTATCTTTTGTCTTTGCTATGCCATCTTCGCGAATGATCAACCAAGAAATGAGTGGTTAAGCGGGCTCAAGCTGACCGAGTTACCGCTCGGACGATAAAAAAGAAGCACGTGGGAAAGCCCTACGACGAAACCTAATTGTGAGTCTGTGAGTCTGATGGGGGACAGCGGCGTTCAGATCTTGTACTTGTCAGATGTATCCGATCACATCCTGTATCAATTTTGCAACCAGTCAGTTGGAACATACACCACCACATGAGCAGAATGTGTGACGTCCATAGTAGTAACAAACACCATGAACCTGAAAAAGAATGTCAGGTTAATATGAGAAACTTTGCTGTTCTGCTGACTGTATCGGATCCGGCCAACAACACCAACAGAAGCATTGAAGGCCACCAAATAACAAACAAAGAACATGATGTATCCTCCTCATGCGCCAGCTCCTTTATCCAAACAACTCTCCGCAAACCTACAATCACAATACAAGTCCATCTCTCATAGTCGGAAGTTTCGAGTGACGTCCTATCTCCCTATAAGGTCCAACACATCAGTCATCAGCATCACCAACCCCTGGCATCACACTTGACTTACACCTGAAACCCTAGCATCCCCTTCGCCTAGTTCTCTTAGTACACCATAAACGCCAAACTCTCATCCTCACAGAGCACCACACTTCCCTCTCCGTCTATGAAGTGGATGGCAATGATAATGCGAAAGGTGCCAACCTTGTGAATGCACAAGTCCGGGAACGCGTAGGTGACATTGGTTTCGTCTTTCACGGTCTTATTCGACTGGTATTCGGTTTCCACTTTTCCGCTGTAGTCGGATGCGGCGATTGCGGTTTCGTCCATGTCCCTCACAACCGCCGTGGCGTAGATGCTGCCGACCTGGTTTTGTAGGTAGCTCTTGGAGTTGAACTGCAGCCTGGCCTCGACCGTTGGCGTGATGGCGCTGTCTTTGTTGACGCTGTGGGGCGGCTGCACCGTTATCGTCACTGTTGGGCTGGGTTGAGGTTGGGGTGTCATTGTGTCAAGGGGATGAGCTTGAGGGTTAACGGATTGGCTGATGGGCATGAAAAGTCTTTGGCAGTGATGATATCGGACCGGAGAAGAGCAGGCGGACAGTTAATGTTGGAGTATACTTATACTTTCTTTTCTGGTACTTAGACACCCCCATGACGCCGCCTCCGTGGTTGACGTCGCTGATATGTGACAGTGATAGACTTAGATTCGTCTGGAATCATTTCCAATGTTTGTGTGTTGTAACGCCAGCTCGCCAGTTTACCACAGCGAGTTAGAAACGTCAGCTCGGGTTGTAAGGGGTTCTCTTTCAGTTATCCCAGCAAGGAGAAGAGGTCTACGTAACCATTCCTGTTTTATCCCCTTTTACCACGCTCAGATGTTCCCAAACGACAACATACTGTTACAGTCACCGCAGCCAACATCCCGTCTGGTCAACTTCCCTTGGGTTACTTCCTGGTTACGCCTAGACGCAAACTCCACGTACTGCCTCAGATCTGTACAACTAACCACGAACCGCAGCATTGCTCCTGGTGTTGTAGAGAAAGCTACAGGTGGATTGCCAGCAATCTGGCAGCATTCCGTTACATGATCTCCCAAATCCTGACTTTCACAGGTATGTGTGAAGCTCTGCTACAATGAACACCGACGTAAACCACATGTGACATAGACAACACAAACTAGCCCAACAACAGCAACTACGCAGAAACCATCTTTTGCACGGCCTCCCCGCCGGTAGCACCACAAATACAGATAGACACCAACCCCATGCGTTGCCCTTGATCTGCACAACCGTACCACGAGCCGCATCTTCCCACTGTTCCACGTGCCGCACTATGTTTAGTGCACCGGAGATTGCCAATTCCCACGAGATTCCAACTGTAGCACGAACAGACCGTGGACACACCCCACGTGCCGCGTCAGATCTGCAGAACCTGCCACAAGCCACAATCTCTTGGTAGTAACGTGATAAAGTTCCGTACCGATATGTTGCCAACAGAGAAAGGCTAGAACAGCCCTAGGTCATACCCGCGACGGCAACTATCATGCAAGCAGCCCCGTCTGGGCATGGAAGCCCCAAACAGGAGGTCCCAAACATGCTCGGACGGTTTAGGTCTAGGGTGGGTAACTGCGAATGGCTTGAGTCACTCCCCCGTACGTACGCATGGCAAACCCCCGGGCTCTTGGGTGAACAAGCAAGGCTTGCCGGGGCTGAGAGGGCAGGCAGTTTGAAACTTGGATGGAGCCCGGGGTTGACCAATAATAACACCACCCCCTGTAGCACGCCCATCCGTGATCTTCTAGCCTTTGAGAAGTTGCCGTATCGAGAGCAGAAGGGGCTGAGCTTGAATGGCTGGGGCCGGCCTCAGATAGGAAGCGCGGGCTGGCTCTGGGCTAGGCCGATGTCCTGTCTCCTGCATGTGCTGCCGGTCAGGGGAAGGCTGTGGACGGATTCTAGGTTTCGATGTTGTGTCAACACCACCAGTTTTCCCCGCTACCGGGAGGGGGATCCAGTCCAGCAAGCACCGCATCACAACACCCAGTTTCATCCAAACCCTCCCCAACCGCGCTCCTTACTGTCACTCTGTAACAAGCAGCCCACGGTATACACGAGCTTTGCGTCCCACGGCATACACGGCATCCGCATACCACACTGCCACCGACCCCCACGAATGGCGTCCGTTGGAGGCGGCGGTGGTTTCAGCACGGGTCACAGTGTATTGCCCTGAAAGGCAGAATATGAACAAGTTTGTGGACTCATCATCGTCTAGCCATTGTTATCAACCCACTGACATGCTTCGGGTGTACGACGATAGGAAGTTGCCAACAACAGAAAGTATGCCAACCACCGGTTGTACATACAGTAACTGCATCCCAGCGGCATTAGAAACCCCTGAGTTTCACTCCCTTGATGTCACCAGATCACGAGCAACACAACGCACAAGTCACCCATCCCAGCCAAACACACACATCAGTCACACAACCAGCACGGCAAGACAGCCAGACACAGCAAGACAGACAGACGCAGCAGTAGCAGACAGAAAACATCATCATTCGCTCATCACGCTAACCATACAAACAACCACACCACCACCACCACCACCCCCACCACAGCAAGCCACCCGCCCAGCCCATTACCGTTAACACTACCTTGGCCCCTGCCCAAAGCAAAAAAGAAAAAGAAAACAAGAAAGATCTAACGACCTAACCGGTATTTGCCGCACCCCCCTTACCACCCCTCCCCCCAACCATCATCCCAAACCCACCCCACCCAACCAGGACAACTAGGACAACTAGGACCCTAAACCTGCTTCAGGAACTCCAACACCTTATCGCGCTCCTCGACGGGCATGACACGCAGCATATCCCGCACGCCCTTCCACGCCGCACCGTCAGTAGCCTCACCACCATCACTACCCACACGCACCAGATCCCTCATCTCCGCGGCAATGGCCTCCTTCTTGAGCGCATCGACCTTGTCATGGACCAGCTTGCGGTTGGCCTCGTACCACTCGGCGACGGCGCGGTCGTCGGAGACAAAGTTGGGCAGGCCGGACCAGGCCTCGAGCAGGTGCAGGTGGCGCTTGCGGGTCTCGGCCGAGACCTGCGCGCTGACCGCCACGTCCTTGGCGTGGGCGCCACCGGGCGCCGTGGCGTTGTTGATGCGGCGGAGGGTGTACTCCTCGTTGAGTCTCCGGCGCACGCGCCAGTAGAAGAAGCGGCGGGCCTCGCGCCACTCGAGCACCTCGCGGATGACACCCTTGGCCTTCATGCGCCCGGCGCGGTCGTGCAGGTCGGCGTACTGCAGGCTGATCTGGGCGTAGACCGGGAGGAGCTGCTGCTCGCGCTCCGTCATCTGCTTCTTGATATCGTCCGTCTCCTCCTTGGACAGGCCCTCCCTGGCCATCTGCTTCTTCAGGCTGGCGTAGAGGGGGTCGAGGCGGGCCATGGTCTGGAGCTGTTTGTCCTTGCGGTACTTGATGCCAACGATACCCTCGGGCTCCAGGACACCACCGCGGGACTCCGTATCCGCATACATCTCCATGAAGGTGGGGTTGATGGTCGGGTCCACGACAACCCACGAACCACCGCGCAGCTCGCCGAAGGGCGGGATGTAGATGAACACGGGTTGCTCAAACTTGACCAAGGCATCGACGATAAAAGAGCCGTACTTGAGAACCTCGTTGTACATGTCGCGTTGACCGCCCGAGAAGCCACGCCAGTTGGCGAGGATCATGAGCGGGAGCTGCTCACCGTGGTTGAAGTCGTTGATGGCCTGTGCCGTCTTGAAGGCCGAGTTGGGGTACCACACGCCGCCGGCCTCGTTTGTCATCTGCTCAATCGAGTCAGGGTTGGCGGGATCGGCGGGCGTGATGTTCTCGACCGAGCGGGTCTCGACGGCGATAACACCCATGGGGATGCCGCCGAGACGGGCGCGGCCCACGACCACGGTGCGAGCCCAGCCGCCTAGCGTCTCGACAAACGAATCCTTGTCGAACAGGCCAGGCTGGAAGCTATCCTCATCCTGCTTGCCGGCAATCATCCACCTCACATCGTAAGGCTGTTTCTGCGGCGGGGTGTAAACGACATCGCGATCCCAATCGTCAACGCTAGCCCGGATGGGGAGAGGGCTATTGCGCTTGTCTGGGATGAAAGACATCCACTCAACAATCTTCGAGACACCAGCGAAGTCGTCGTTGGCGGTCAAGTGAGAGACACCGTTCCGGTACATGATCTGAGTGCCACCGAGCTGCAGGTTGGAGGTGTAAACCTCACGGCCGAGCAGGTTGTTGAGCGCCGGAGCGCCGGTGAGGATAATGGGTTGACCCTCGATTTGCACAGCACGTTGGCCGAGACGCACAAGGTACGCACCGATACCTAGAAAAGGTTAGATTGTGTGGGACAAGACGCGGCGGTTACGG